GGAAGTGTTAAATGATTCGTGTGCAAATGGCTCGTAAAGGTTAAGCTGCTGTTTCTTAACTTGCTTGGGCAACCAGCGGATTTACCCCTAGGAAAGCTATAGAAGACTGCTAAGAAAAATCAAACTTATTTTTCCGAGGTAGAAATTTGCTATGAAGGAGCATTGCTGCCCACTGGAAGAGACTACTGATGTTACCACATCTTTTCCTGAAGTTGCAGACTACTTTATACTTGGTTCTGCCTGGTAAAATTCAGACAAGGTGTATTTCTACAGAAGGCAGCCACGCTGCTGGATGGGCAATGCTGCATCAGGTGAAGTCCCAGCCGTGAGGGAGTGAAATCCCTGCCATGGTGGTCCCTGGGAGCTCTGCAGGACTCGGCAGCATGGCTGGGATGTTCCTCTCTGCTACTCCTACCCTGTGTGGCAGCTGTGGGTGCTTCAGCCCCGGTCCTAGCCTCAGCCATGGCTCCTCATCCCCAATCCTAGCCCCAGCCATGGCCCCGCAACCCAAGGCGGGATGGAGGAGAGACTCACCCAAGATCTTGACTGTTTGGTGGTGCCCCTTCTCCCGGAGGACCACACTGGGGCCTTGCAGGTGGATGTTACTCCGCCATAGCTCCCGGATGATGAAGCCGTAGAGGACGTTGAGGCAGATAACGGGCAGGATGAAGTAGGAGGTGGTGACCCAGAACATGGTGGCCAGCAGGCCAGACTCCACAGCTTGAGGTGTGGGCTTGCACTCGCGGCTGAAGTCGGTGTGGTTGTTGGGCTGCTCCACGCCGACCATGAAGAAGAAGGGGCTGGCAGAGAGGAAGGCGAAGGCCCAGAGGACGCCGATGACAGCCTTTACCCGGCGCTTGGTGACAACCACCTTGGCCTTGAGGGGGAAGCAGATGGCGAGGTAGCGCTCCACAGTGAGGGCGGTAATGTGGAGGATCGTGCAGTAGGTGCAGCCCTCACTGAGGTAGTGGGAGAGTCGGCACAGCAGCTGCCCGAAGATCCATGGCCGGGAGCGCCAGAGGCGGTAGAGGTCGAAGGGCAGCCCCACGAGGATGAGCAGGTCCG